GTGATACTGGGAATAAATATAAGACTGGCCTCTACTGGTTTCCACTTCTGTCTCGTCTGTGTCACCTTTATGGGCTTACAGGACAATGAATGCCATTCTCTTATGAATAAATCTGGGCTTCTCTCATCTGCTAGCCTGGTAACAAGAATTAGAAAGCAGTTTTCAAAACAATGATTTTTAAAATGCAAAGGTCTTGCATTATGGAAGAATAATTTTGAAGTCAAGGCACCATTTACTGTGTTGTCTTCTTTGCAAAGGGACTCTGACTGTGTTTTTAGAGCAGTGGACACCAGATTTCACTATGAGAATCTTCGCACCTATAACAACTTCATTGAGCATGTTAGGTAGCATGAGGAATCAGTTGGTTTTATAAACCTCTGCGTATGCTCCCAGTCATTCATACAGACGTACTTTCACACTCTGATAGCAAATGGGGTAAGGTTTGTTGTATACCATTGGATCATGTTTCACACAGGGCAATAAGCTGAGCAGAATCAAACAGAACAGCGCAGACACCAGTAGCAAGATGATATTTAGATCTGTATACTGTATTACACTACATGGTAAGCAATCTCCTAAAAGCTCATCAAAAGAATGTTATAACTTAAACATGAGGCATTTTTTGACATCATAGTGATGACTGGTAAGAGCGCTTACAATGACACAACATATGGTCGGCAATTCTTTTCTCCAGCCAAAGAGCACTACTAACAAGACCCATGCCATCCGCCCGAGAAATGAAAGCGCACATACGGGCTGTGTTCCGGAAAAGTCAACAGGCTGGAGAGTTACCTTCCCTGATTCATCTCTCAGTCTAAAGGTGTGCAGGGATATAACATATTTACATTAGCTCCTCAGGCATTGCTGTGGTCATTTGGGTTTATGGTCTCCAAGAGTCCCATTAGAATCATGCTCCAAATTCCACAGTGGTGACAGTTTGACAGCCCATCTTTACTGACATTATTTCTCTCTAATTTCACTTCCCTACTGGTGTTTTTTGTCAGCTTGATGCCTATACTACTTGAGTTTAAGCTTTGTCTTAGGAGGATTTCTAATTCAACACAAAATTAAACACTATGTTCAAGCCTTTGCTTTTTTATATTAGGATAAATTTCAACTTTTATCTAGCACTGTGGACCACCACCCATCTTTTTAATCAAAAAGAAATGCAAGTTTGGCCAAAATTCAAGTCCATAAAAAGCCCACAATTATCCATAGGTGTGTTTTAAAGTAGAGGATGTTTTTGCCATGATATAGATGTCTGCAGTAGTGCTATAAGTGCTTTTTAAACCAATAGAAAATCTTACTATAGAAAACTTTGAGTGAGTCTAGGCATAGATGTAATTAGATCTATATATTTGCCTTAGTTGATTTTCTTGTTGTAAGTAAGACCCCTTGATAGAAGGAAAATAAGGGACAGAGGTTTACCTTAGATCACAGTTGGAGATATAGCACATCCTGGCGTGGAAATCAAGCAAGGAGGAGCTTGAAGTAGATGGTCATGATGCATCCACAGTTAAGAGGCAAAGAGAAATGAATGCCTATTACTTCTTACCTGCTTAGTGTGTTTTCTTCCACTTTATGGTGTCCCTAGATCCTCTGTCCAGAGAAGAGCAGCATCCACAGATAAGATGTGTCTCCTCACATCAATAAATGTAATCATGATATTCCCTAACAGGCATCCTCAGAGGCCTGTCCTACGATAATTCTAGATCCTATCAAGGTAACAATTGACACCATTCTAGAGTTTATCAAGGTGACAATTGACAACAAAGCACACACTATCCTTTTATTTTTATCTTTACTGATAATATCTCAGTTCTCACTTTTGTCTTACACACAAACACATTCACACAGTATGGATTTTATTCCATGATGAAAGAAATGGATTAGGTGGTTGTAAACAATGTCAAAGTGAACACTTCCTCAGGCTTTATATGTAACCAGTAGCAAGAACATATTTATACTTCAATAATGTATCACATCACATGGTAAGCAACCTCCTAAAAGCTTATCAAATGAATATTTTTAGAATTTAAACATGAAACCTGTGATTGACATATGTGGACAACATATCATAGTGAATATTTCTGCAGCTTTTATATGCACTCAGCATATACATGATTTTAAACCTGTACTACAGACCCCATATATTGTAATTCAATTGCAATGCTAAGACTTTAGCATATGGAAAAATGTAAGATGAGTATAAAATATATTGTTAAATATGAAATTTTATGATAAGTTAAACAATCATGTGGAGAAATAATTTCAAAGGCCAAATGTTAAACTTCACCAAAAACTCAATGGGAAAAATCATAAACAAATAACTATATTCCCATTTTTGTGCTGATGTATGCATATACCAGGACATGGGAGACTGATTGGAAGCTTAAGGTAAGCATGAGTTACACAGCAAGAATGAAGCCATATTGCACTACAGTAAATTCCAGACTAGCCTGGGTACAAAATAAAATTTTATCTCTATGGAAAGTACAAACAAAAACAAACAAGCAAATGCCTTGTAATATATATATATGATGTATATATCATATATACATACATTATTAAATCAATAACTTGATGCACTTGAAAACTTTAGAAAAACTCATTAATATTCTTTTTAATTTTTATTTTATTAAAAAACTATCTTTTTTCATTTTGCATATCAATCCTAGTTCCCACTCCCTTCCCTCCTCCCATCCCCTCCAATTTCCCCTGCATCCCACCCCTCACCCCACCCACTCCTCAGAGTGGGTAAAGTACATTGCTTTTAGGAAGGACCAAGGCCCTATCTACTATATCTAGTCTGATAAAGGTATCCCTCAAAAGAGAATGGGTCCAAAAAGCCAGTACAAATAGTAGGGATAAATCCTGGTCCCATTGCCAGTGACCCCACAGTCTGTCCCAGCCATACAACTGTCACCCACATTCAGTGGGTCTAGTTTGGTCCTATGCTGGTTCCTTCCTTTCCAGCCAGAGATGGTGAGCTTGCATTAGCTCAGGTGAGCTGTTTCAGTGGGTGTCTCAATCATCATTGCTCAAACTCTCACTCCTCCCATAATATTCTTTCTAAGAATCCATAATGCATCCACTGGTAAAGCCAGTCATACAATATTTGTTGAGTATCCTCCCAAATACACATCAGGGAGCAATCCAGAATCCCAGCCCTCATGAAGTTTGTGTTCTAAAAGTTCAAATGCCAAATAAACAACTAAGTAGTATATTTATAGCACAATGCCAGGTGATGGACCTCTAAAAACAATAAAGCAGGTTCACTGACTTTAGAAAATAATAAAAAACATTGTTTTGTTTTGTTGCTTGCTTTTAAGGTCTTATTGAGCTAAAGGTAGCCTTGAACACACTAAAAGAATGACCTTGGAGCTTTCATTTAGTAGTGTGCACCGACAGGTAGTTTATGTGGTCCACACTTGGCCTTGAGATTACAATCAGGAACTCATTCATGGGAAGCAAACACTCTGTCAATGACAACACTAGCTCACACATTTGATTGTAAGATGAGGGATCAGGGATAGCTTCCCTAAGGAAAGTCAGGGGCACTAAGTGCATCTCTAACAGAACTACTAATAAGATATCCAGGCAGAGGAAATAGTCTATGCAAGGGCCCTGTGCTAAAGGAAACATAAGATTACAATAATTAAGGTAAGTGGGGGTCAAAGAAGGTAGGAAAAAGCATCCAGGATCCAAATATGCAAGCCTGATAAACTTATGGTTTGGACTCAGAAGAGTGAGTAAAAAGTCATTGAAAAACTTAAATAGCTCCTAGGTGAAGAGGATGCAGGAAGCAGAAGTTAAGGAGAGGAAACATCAACAGGGAGGATGTTCTGCCTCCAGGCTAGAGATGATCCTGTCTACTCTGTGTTCAGAGGCTGCAGATGAGGAAGATTAGGAATGTGAGAGCTTGGGTTAGGAAAAGGGACAAGGAGTAGGCTCTATGTATTTACACTCAACTAATGAAGGCAAAAAGCAGGGTACTAGGCACAGACTGAGGCAGGAACTGGAATTTAATAGTGGGCATGTGAATCTGAGGTATTTCTTAGTAGAGTCAGTTGGGTATTTTTGACCAAATTTCAAGATCAGGTCTGAGTTAGTAATAGAAATCATAAGCCACAGGTAGCATCTTGGTCCTCTTAGAATGAAGAAAATTGTCTGAGCACTTAGACCTGGGTGAGTCATACCCTCAGAACTTAAAATGGCAAGGAAGAAGGAGATAATGGCGGTGGGAAGAAAGTAACAAGAGTCAAGGAGAGACTAATTAGAATGTACTATATAAATGTAAGAATTATAAAAGAACAAAAGCAATTGATAAAAAAAAGAGAAGGGGGACCAAAAAAAAAAAAAAGAATCTAAAAAGAATAAGCACAGGGAAAGTGGAAACATTTTTCAAGTTTTCATGCAGCATGTGCAAACTCAGTTCAAATGGAAAATCATGTCCCTGCTGAAAGAAGAAGAAATCTCTCCAGGACCCAACTACAAAAATCAGTATGCAGTGGCATTGTGGTTGTATGAGCAAGGAAAGAAAGTAGAGAGCAGAAGTTCTGAGCACAACACAGTTTAGGAGACATTTGGAGAACAGAGAGATGAATCTCGAGGTGCCCCCCCCCCTACACCATTCTCTCCAGAATGACCTTTCAGGTCTTCACAGAAAAGAAAGATGGATTCATGGGTCACTGGGTTAGTTCAAGGTGACGTGAATGCTACTCATGGCTAAGGGGTGAATGAGGATTATTCTCTAACTTGTGCTCAGGGCTGAGTGATGATACTATGTAGATTTGACATGTACACAGGCATTCATACAGGTCCCAGTGGTGATGTCATAGTATCTCATAATGACTGAGTATCCCTCCTATAATATGGATTTGGTAGTACAGACTCCAATCCTAGACTTTGGTTCCTGTTTTCAAGGGACAACAGGGGCCTCTAGTTCTTTTACATGCCTGCTGCCTTTGCCATAGGCATCATGGTCAGACATAACCAACCTGTGTTGAAGAACGATCCAGTCCATTCTGCCTCTGTCTTTGGAAACACAGAAACTGGTGGGGGCAGACCCAGAGTTCTCCCATCCAGATCTATGAAGAGGCATTTTCTTGGGCTTTCCCAGTCTGATTCATGGCAAACGGTCTCCTCTAAGTCTTTCCTGTGGAAAAAGGGAAAAAGCAACTCTCTCATCTCATGATAGGCAGCAAAATAAAAGCTCATTGGCAGTGCTGTTCTTTTAGCCAGTCAAGGGAGTACCCATCTTCCTATCCTGCCCCATGAGGCTTTATCCTTCACCTAGTATGGTTGACCTGCATAGTGGCCCTCCCCGGACATCATGTCCTGGACAAAACGTCATGAGACATTTTGATTTTTGTACTACCAAACTCCAAAACTATCATAAATAAATATTTGCTCAATATAATAAATCATCTACCTTATGGCATTTGGTATAGGCACAAATGGACCAACGGGTATAGCTTTCATCCCACTAGTAAGACACAATTAACAAGTAATAACACAGCAGAAATTGTGTGACTAACTGTACTGAGTTACTACAACGGCTCAGGGGATGGACATTAAAAAGGAAACTATTTAGGTCAAATACATGAACTTTTTATATGTGGCGGTTTATTTAGCCTATCCCTTTTCTCCCTAAAGCAGAATATTTTTCCAATGTGAGAAAGCATAACCCATTTTTTTTTAACTTTCAGATCTTTGAATGAAGCTCTCGGGTCATATTCGAGACCATACGTGTACTAGTTACACCTGGCCTATGACTCATGGTTTGTCTTCGGAGTTCCTAGCAATAGGTGAAATCTCCTCCCATAACCTCAGCCTGATCAAAGTCTCCCTGAGCCCCCATCTGAAACTGTGAACTTTGTGCTCCATGATAGAGAAGAGAATGGAATTGTTTAGAATCAGCTGTTTTGAAAATATCCATAAGAAAAAATAATAAAAATAACAATAAAACTGTCACAAAATCACTTCTTTAAAAAAAACAGACTCAAGAGGGGAGAAATCAGTAACTAGCATCTGTTGTTTGTGAGCAAAATTCTTAAAGTCATATATGAAAGGACAAAAATACAGAGGTGATGGGTAAAACATTGGGACCACTAAACCAAGGCACCAGCCTTTTCTACATGGATTAATTTCAATTTGTGTGATGGTGTTATAATGTTTAGTGTCTTATGGATTTAAAAAGTTGAGAACTGTCTCAAATTATAATATCTTGTCAGTACTGAAAGTGGTACCTGGGCTGTGATGGAGGAAAGTAGAACTTGTTTTTGTCCTTCATCCTTAGCATCCTGGTCCTCTCTGCTGTTATTGGGTACATGATTCCAGTGCTGTGTTCATTAGGCAGGATGCAGATATCCAGGTCTCCACTATAACAACTCTTTACAAAACTAGAAAATGTGACATCTGAAATATTAAACAGTACATCACAAGATTATATCATGTGCACCACCAACCACAAACAGATACTACACTACATATTCTTTTCATAATTTATATTATAGGAGCTAATTTAATTGAACCAGAATAACCCCAGGAAGTTTATTTGAATTTTAGTAACAAAATATCTGGGTCCTACGTGAACACTGTGTGGAAAAAAAAAAAAAAAGACAGCAATTCCAAGTTAGAAAGCTGGTTTAGTGGCTAGGGCAATGACTGTTATTCCAAAGAACACAGGTTCATTCCTAGCAGTTACATCGAGGCTCACAGTCTTCTTTAACACCAGTTTTGGGGTCTAACACCCGTTTTCCAGCTCTTGTGCTTGTGTGTACTTCATGTATATGCTAGACAGATCTGTATATATAAGGCAAAGCACTCATACACATAAAATAATAAAAATGCCTCTAGAAACAATAATTTAAATCTACTACAAGCTTTAGAAAAAGTTAAATTAAAACCTTGATAAAAATCTATTTTAGGAAATATTCAAGCAAACTACCAGATAGGACTAAATATATGAGGAATAAGTACAGAATTACCAAAACTATCTGATAGACGATAAACTGCCCAAGTATTTAAATGCTGACTTTAAACCTAACCATCATCACAGCAGCCAACTACAAAGCTGAGGTACACTTTCTGTGTCTCGGTTACTTTAGTGGACAATAGGGAAAACGACTTCTAGCCAAGAGTTATCTTTGAGTTAGACAGTTACAATGAAGTCTCTCCAGCAAGAAGAAAGCAGTAACTTCTGTAAGGACTCACTCACTGCCTTTAATATACAGATGTGGCTCATCAACATTCAAATTTCAGCTAGACAAGAGAGCATTAGACCACACTGGACCTTCTTGCCTTATGATTTTTGAATGCTTCTGAAAGTTGTGTGCTTGCGTGTGCAAAGCCACACTTTTAGGACAAACTCCAGAATCCTACCTTGAAGCTTCATGATTCCGGAGACTAAATGGCTGCTTCTCACTTTGTGCCATGGCTCCTGAGGCCATTGATTTGGTTCTGAGGTGAAAACTGGCCACAGGATGCCAATCCGGCCCCCTCTGGCATTGGAAGGTGCTCTGTCTGTTGATGTCCAGTTGGCTGACTGAGGTGTCTTTCTGTCTTGAATGCAGTCAAAAGAGGAGCTAGTGGCCACAATGACTGAATTCCTAAGCACAATCTGCACATCAATAATGGAGCTTGGAGGAGCAGAAGATACAGATGCAACCACCAAAAGACCAATAGTATTGTCTACCAGAGTGATGTTCTGCAGGACCAAACTATTTTCCGTCTGTATCATGGCACCATAGTCAAAGTTCTTAAAGGCCAGAAATCCAGAGACACCAGTACAGTTGTTGGGTTCGTTTCTGTTATAGAGGTGAACTCCATGGAGGCTTGAATGGACCACATTGTCAGACCAAAGCATTTCAGAAGAGCAGCTATGGCCACATATTTGAATGCCAATTCTTTCTGATCCTGCCACTACATTGCCACGGAGAATGACATCTTTTGCATAGTTCACTTTGATTCCTGCCACCCAAGGAGATGACCTTGTTGACTGCATCGTTAAGATGACAAGGTTATTAGTGAGAGAATGGTTCAGACCTTCCAGACCAATGCCATGGCCATTGGTACCAAACACTACATTGTCATTTAAAACCATCCCATGACTGGTAGATGCATAGATGCCCATGCCGCAGCTTTGATGTACAGTAGAAGATATCACCCAGGATCCTGCTGACACACCAGTGAACTCAATGGATGCATACAATGGTGACCCCAAGTTTTGAATTTCTACATTTAGAAGTTGAAGAACACCTGCAAAGAAAATGTGCATATTCAAGTCAAGTCCTTTTTTATGCCCCACAAAATACCAAAGGAGGTTATTTTGGGGGCATCAAAATATGCAGATATTTAAGTAAAATATAATCATTATTTTTACACTCGAACTATATATCACACCATAAATTCTCACTAACAAACATTAATCAGTGGAAATAACACATTCTTGTCTACAAACAGCCATGTGCAGTCTGGACTCTGATATAAGGAGTAAAAATTAGAGAAATAAGGGAGGGAATGGCCTTGGGGAGGTACACAACTGGTTTCCATATTCTCTGCATTGACTGGATCAAGGGCACTGGCCCAGCATGTGTAAGACCTTATAATCAATTCCCAGGAGTAAATATAAAGAAATGACCTCCATGAAACCCTTTCTATATTTTAATCTTAGCTACACTGTATTTTCCACTTTATTTTTATGACAATGAAATTTTGTACATTTTTGATGAAAATGAATACTTACATAGTTTCACTGAAGACTTCAAGCTTTTTGAATGTTGTCATTTTTGTGCATTGTTTTGCTATACTGATGCTTGAACCTACAGCCCTGACCCTACTAGGCCATTATTCTACTACTAACTATACCTCTAACATAGCCTATTTTTTTTAGTAGAGTCTCATTAATTTGTCACACAGGTCTGTAATTTGTGATTTTCCTGCCTAAGCTTCCAGAGTAGCTTAGGTCATAGGCTTGAGCAACCATGCCTAGCTTGTTTTTATATTTTTAGAGACAGAGTTTGACTATGAAACCCAGGAAGGACTGAAACTGACTATGTAGCCATAGATGACTTCAACATCACAACCCTCTTGCCTCTCTCTCCAAAGTGTTAGGATTACAATTGAATACCACATGTCTACCTGTACTGCCTTAAAAAGATATAGTTAAAATCATACAGAATTCAGTCCACTCATTGTTTTTAAATTGGAGTATCAATAACAGTATAAATGCTTTTGGAAAAAATACATAAAATACATACTATATGATTATAGGTTATAAATTAATAATGAAATAAAATAACCGTAACATCTAATTCCCATATAACACGGATTGTATGTCAAGCTCTTCTGTAATGCACACATGCACACACACACCCATACATACACACACAAAGAGCACAATTTTATTACAAAGATCCTATGAGTTGAGTCCTATTATTATTCCCATTTTGTTGATAAGAAAACTAAGAAAGAAAATAGTTGACAAACTAAGATTTCAACCTGAACATAGGACTAAATGTTATGAACCACATTGCAAATACACACATGCAAGAGTAAAAGGTTCAACACTATAAATGGAGCATCTTCACACAAAGTCAGATAACCAGACAATAACTGTTTGTCAGTCATGAGTCACATATCTGCTGCTTGGAAGGCTACAGCTTGACAACTTGGTCTCTCTCTCTCTCTCTCTCTCTCTCTCTCTTCTTTCCTTTCTTCCTTTTTTTTCTCATTTTGTTTCTTAGTTGCTGTTGCTGGGATTTAAGATGTTTTGGTTTGGTTTGGTTTTTGAGGCAATACCCAAGATAAATCATGAAGTTACTTCTTCAAAAAAAAAAAACTAGAAAAGACTAGGCATGTGAAATTTCAAAGTTACTATGTTTCAGTACTTTTACTTCAAGCTCAAAGATAGACCAGCCTTAAAACCTTCAGTTCTCCACTTCCATTTCAGAGATAGGAAACTTAAAGCCTTGCAAATCAGTTGCTGTGAAGAAGTCTGTCCCTGTAAGAAGGGACAGTGAAAGACTATGTGCCTTTCCTAGAACTGGTAAAAGAACTTCAATAATTAATCCTCCTGGTTGGCAATGACCGAGAAGCTTCTGGTAGATGGTATGGAAATACAAGTTCACATGTTAACAGCCTGTTTCTTATTATGCATGGCAATTTTAGGCTTTCATTAGCATATCCTGTGAGCAATATTTCAATATCTTATTTCAATATGGTTGTGATTCACAGTTTCACACTGTTCAGCATCATTTTGTTTGCATGTACAGACCCCCTCCTTTCTCTCTTTCAAATTCCTCTGCAATCTTTTTTTTTTCTAAATATAACCTTCTCAGTCTATATATTAGTACCCATTTGTACATTCCCGAGACTGCTGGCCAATAATATTGGAGAACCAGTTGGTTTGCTCTTCCCTAAGGGAGGCTGTTTCTCCAGAATTTAGAATTTTGTAGTTGTCTGCAGCTCTTTGTGTAGGCCCCATGATCCTCCCTTGCTTTTCTGTGGCATGTTTTTTTTTATTGTCATCCTTATTCCACTCATGTTTAGACAGTCTCACAGCAAACTCTCTGCTTCACTCGTTATCACGCTCTTTCCCCCAACCCTCGTCTGCAATGACATGGGTTATATTAAAAAGCAAGGATTCTTTCTTAATGTAGTATGAGAACCTGGACTGTATACTGGACAGAAAGGGATTATTAACAGGAAAAAAATCCACTATGGAAAAACCAGAACAATTCCAGTCCACAGAAGCATTTAAAAAAATCTCTCTCTCTCTCTCTCTCTCTCTCTCTCTCTCTCTCTCTCTCTCTCTCTCTCTCTCTCTCTCTCTCTCTCTCTCTCTCTCTCTCTGTCTCTCTCTCTCTCTCATTCTCTCTCTCTCTCTCTCTCTCTTGGATAAAAGCTATGGGTTAGCAACTACGGAGATGTAGGATTCTCTCAGACTTTGCCCTCAACTGTAAGATTTGTCTTTCTGACCTATTCTGGTGAGCTTGTTTTCATTAGCTGGGTTTCTATGATGCTCTTCCCTCCTGATGTCCCAACTACAATTATTTCTACAAGACCACACTTCAGCTTTTGTCTCTGTCTTCTATAGCAAGATTGTCCAACTTAAACCCCATGTTACCTTGAGCCAGACATTTCTTTCTTATATGTTGCTGTCCTGTGCATTTGGCAATTATTCATTGAGTTCCAGAAAAATCTCTCAATAAATACTGACAGATGCCGAGAATTTTCCTCCTAATGAGCAAACTCACCTCTAGCAAGAACACATAGAGACAGAGCTTATGAAAAGTGTTTTTTTCTATTCACTAGAAATTGTAAACTTCTGATTTAAGATCAGAATATTCCAAATTAATGAATGGATGATACCAAGAATCATCCCATGTTGATTATACTAGCTTAAAACACTTTTTCCAGGTCATCTCTGAATGTTTATTATATGTAAATACAAAATTAGTTTCTTTTCTTTAAAAATATATAGTATTGTAATAAGTCTTTGAGAATTTCATAAATGCATACAATGTATTTTGAACCCAGTCAGTCAAATTAGTGCTACTCATAAAGTCCTGGGTAAGGGGACTTCACTGGAATGTACTCAACCCACTAAGCACACCATTAAAGACAAGAGACTCTCTCTTACCAAGAAGCCATCATTTGTCAATGGCTGCTCAGTTAGGGAGAAGAGGTTCATACAGTAATAGTGACTGGCTTGATCTTATATATGTCTTACACAGGCAACTACATCTTCTGGGAGTTATTGAGTAAGGTAGTCTTATCATGCCTTAAAGACATGGTTTTGATCTAGTCTTCTTCAACCTCTAACCCTTATTGTCTTTCTACTCCTTTCTCTGCCCCTGAATATTGGAGTGATTGGAGGTTGTGGTGGCTTGAAAGAAAACAAGCCCCCAAAGATAGTGGCACTAATGGGAGGTATGATCTATTAGAGTAGGTGTTGTCTTGTTGGAGGAAGTGTGTTACTGTGGAGGCAGACTTTGAGGTCTCATATATGCTCAAGCCACGCCTAGTGAGACAGTTCACTTCCTGTTGCCTGGAAGATAAAGAACTCTCAGCTACCTTTCCAGCAACATGTCTTCCTGCTTTCTAGCATGTTCCAACAATATGATAATGGACAGAACCTCTAAACTGTAAGCAAACCACCACAATTACATGTTTTCCTTTTTAAGAGTTGCCGTAGTCATGGTGTCACTTCACAGCAATAGGAACCTAACTAAGACAGGGAGGGGGTAATATTGATCTACCACTTTTGGCTAAACACTTCCCGGATACTACCCTACACAGTTGAATGTTTCTATCTTAACTGCCCGCTGCACTGAGAAACTTCTCTGGTTAGGTTTAAGAGGTATACAAATGAATAATAGACATTGATAACTTCCATCTTAGAGTAGAAATGACAGCCTCCATATAAAGAGAAAAGATTTTCACCTACGTGAAAACATTCTTCTGTCTCCTGTCCTTTATTGTATTGTGCTCATCCCTTGCATTGCATCCTCATTTTATCTCATAGAAAAATAAGAAGAAAAATTTCATTGATAAAAACAAATGATTCCCTTTAGTTATAGAAACTAAAGCATAAAAGAATCATTTTTAGATTCATCCAGACATTTTCTAATAACAAATATTTTTTTAAAAGAAAGAACAAACAAACAGATATCCTTTAAGGAGTAATAGAAGAAAATCTACATTTTTAGGTAAAAGAAAATAGAATTAATCTGCAGTGGATGTGTGCTCAAGAAGTATTCAAGTGGCCGGGTGGTGGTGGCACACGCCTTTAATCCCAGCACTCGGGAGGCAGAGGCAGGCGGATCTCTGTGAGTTCGAGACCAGCCTGGTCTACAAGAGCTAGTTCCAGGACAGGCTCCAAAACCACAGAGAGACCCTGTCTTGAAAAACCAAAAAAAAAAAAAAGTATTCATGTAAATTACTTAGAATCAAAGGAAATGTTTTTATAAATAAGTTCAGATCATGAAGGACAGATCCACAGTGCTTTTCGAAGATGGAGTAGTCCTGACAAAATCTACCAAACTAGTTGATCAGGATGAGCTTTGCCAGATTATAGCCAGAACCTTTAATAAATAAGGTCATCAATTTTGCAAGATTCTAAAAGAGGTGAAGCATAAATTTCAAAGAAAAAAGATTTCATTGATCTTTTAAAATGATTGAACTGATCTTTAGAACACTTTAAGATATGGAAATTATTCGTATTTAAATTACAGCCACTAGTTTGTAGCATGACTCACGTCTAAGACTAGAGATTGCATACTACTGGGAAAATGTAAGAGAAAATTAGGAAAGTGACAAAATTAAAACAGTTATGAAGTCATCCATCATTTCAAAGCAGAGGGAAATTCCCATCTGCCGAAGGTGTTTTCCTTGAGGTTAAAAGGCACATATGCACTGATCTCTAGGATGTTATTTAACTTCACACTGCTAATTTAGTGAAGACTAGGGCTGAAAATTCATAGCTTCCTGGAGCACAAAGAAGCCACCTAATTTGATCATTTTGCATTACAAGTGAAAATTCTCCCAGCTAAAGTTTCTGAGAGCCCCAGATGAGTGGTTCAGAATTCCTTAGTAGCTAACCGGTAATGCTAAGAGATTGAAAATTTCATTTCACTTACCGGAAAACTCTTCTCTGCTAGACTTCCTGAAGGACCCCACCAGGAGTCTCCCTCTACAGGATGAATCAGGTTGAATTTTAATGTTCCTCGTCAACAGTCCAACCTCAGCAGCCAATGGAATGCGCTGACCATTCTCCATGATATGGGCACTTCCTGGAGAAGCAGGGGTCAGAGGCAAACAACTTTTAACTGGCTGCCTTGGAAACCACCAGCTGGGGACCCTACTGTACCTCACAAATGAAAGTTCCTATTCCAGTTAGAAGTCTTCCCCAACATGAAAGCCAGCCTTTCCTCAGGCACACTCCACAGATGTCAGTCAAGAAATGAAAAACCTATTCTCTTGTCCCTCTTTGGGATCAAAGAGAATGTGTGAGCAATAATTCATTTCTTCTCAATAACTCTGGGTACTAGGGCAGGCCACTTGCTCACAGATTTGTCTAGTTAGTAGAGGCCACACGGTCCTTCCTTTCTTGCATCAGTGTGAGGCTTTGGCGTTTGACTACACATCGTCCATACACTTCCATCATAGGAGTAAAGAATGCCAGGTCAGATGAGGTAGTGGGAGAAAGTAAACATTAATGTCAGAGAATGAAGGGCATAGAAGGGATGGTGCTAAGCTCAGTAACCTCCTCTCCTGATGGGCTTCTGCTGTCAGCAACCTGGACCATCTACCTGAACAGGAAGTAAGGGGGAGCCTTGTTTCATCTCAAAAAAATCAGTGGCCTTCCTATTTCCACTAACATTTTATGGTGACTCCAGTTGCCCAGGGTTAATAAAGATGTCTCTTTTCCATGCTAGGCTGTTAAAATAGAAAATCAAGCTGGACATAGTGAAACATGCCAATAGTACTAGCTAACTGGAGGCCGAAACAGGATAATGTCTAGAGCCCAGAAATTCAAGACCAGCCCAAGTAACATAGAAAAATCCCTCTTCAACAACAATACAAAGTGGAGGAGGAAGTGTTTATCCTGAAACAATAACCTACAAAGACTTTAGACAGTCTTGGTGAACATTTACACTCCCCTTATATCTGATAAAAATTCACTGATGCTTATTTTTCATGTTTCATTATCACTCCTGAGTTAAACTTCTTTCATGCATGACAGGAGGGTGGTTTTCTTTGATGGCTATTATTTCTATAACAAACTTACTTCCTGTTTTTACAAGAAGGTATCTGAGCTTTCCTGTTTCTTCTGTTTGTTTGCTTTTTGTTGATCATCTTACTAGACAATATATAAAATGTATTTTGTGTCAAGAAGCATGCATTACTATATAAAATAAAGTTACTATTTATACTATCCACTGTTATCCAAGGGACCCAGGATTCAATGAAATGAAATGAACTGGATACTTAGTGTCAAAGAGTTTTTTTTCTGAATTAGTCAAAAACTATCTGATTTTTAAATACACTTCAACTCTCCTCTTAAACTTGTCATTATGAGCAATTAAATGTCTGCTATATCTAAACATTATTTTGAAAGTAAACAATATGTCAAGTATGATTGTGCACAGCTTTAATCCCAGCACCAGGGATGCAGAGGCAGATAGATCTCTTTGAGCTTGAGGCCATCCTGGTCCAAATAACAAGTTCTAAGACAGCCAGGACAATATAATGAGACCTTGTCTCAATATATAAATAAAATAAAAAAATAGTAAGCCAGGTACAAAGGTATGGGGCATGTATGTTTTTAATTTCAGCACTGGAGCACTAATGTAAGAGAATGAGTTTGAGTAGCAAGCTTGTACTATTTAATCATACCCTGTCTCAAACAAAAAAACATTAAAAGGCAGAAGGAAGCAAGGAAAGAAGGAGAGGAGAAGGAAGGAGAAGGGAGAGGATATGAGAAGAAGGGAGGAAGGGAGGGGAAGAAAATTGAGAAAAGTTTCTAAGATAAGTGCAGGGCAATAATCAGGAAACCTCCTTCTACTCTTAATATTAAACAAGTACACTATGGCTGGGCAGGCTGTCAAGCCAATCCTTCATGGCCCACCCATTTCCTTTAACCAAAAAGCAAAGCCTTACCAATGTGTCGGTGTCTAAGACGTTCATAGATCCTGATGTGATGGCCCTTGACTTCCTTGACCGTGAGGACCTCTGCCTCATGAGGCTCATAAGAAGAAGAGCTAAGGACGATTTTGTCGAGGGGTTGCCACTTCACTTCATCGTCTACTATAATTCTATAAACTCAGAAAGCACTTGTCAGATATACTAATAAAACAACAGCTATCAAAAAGTAATCCAAGAAAAAGTAAAACACACAAAATAAATAAAAAATAAGCAAATCTCACTATGGAAACTAAAGGGGGAAGCAAAATAAAACGCAAGAAAAATGCTTGGTTGAACATTGACTCCTGTGCATGGAGAAAATCCTGGGTTAATAAAGTCCTTGTTTTGCAAGTATGAAGACCTTAATGTGTAAATGAAACCACATTTTACAAAGCCAGGCATGGTGGTTCATTCCTGTATTCCCAGTAACGTGTCTGAGATTAGTAATCATACCTTCATGTGTTTGGGATAAGAGCCAACTCCCTTCTTGACAATGAAACAATTTGAGTAATAAAGATATTTCTTTTCATGTCTTCTGAAGGTAAGTTATTCTTTTTTGGCAATATATACAAAAAATCCTAATACTGTCCTGATCATACAGATACTGCTATGAGTTGTTAGAATTCTAGTTCCATCTGTGCAACCTCAAAAAGCTGTTTGGTTTTTCAAGCTTTGTATCATCAGTGATGCAGTTGGATATTCCTATCTCACCCTGCCATCCAAATTGCATTGTGTGGAATAGTGGGTGTCCATTACTCTGGTGCGCTATTCCAAGCATTGTGATTTTAACTCTATAAGTCAGTGGGAGTTTTGTACATGCATTTTCTTAGACTCACATTAAATTCATTTTCTCTTCGACCTGTCATGGATGTGTGGCTTTTTCTTAGTGAATAGGACTGAAGGAGAGAAGAAAAGGAGGAAGGAAGGAAGGAAGAAAGGAAGGAAAGAAGGAAGGAAGGAAGGAAGGAAGGAAGGAAGGAAGGAAGGAAGGAAGGAAGGAAGGAAGGAAAAAGAAACTTTGACAATGAAGATTAAATAGTAACTCAAGGGTGGATAATCAAATGGAGTCAAAGACTAGGTTAGATGAAGTAAGATTCCTGACCCAGTCCAGAGATATTTTGACTAAATAGCATCACCTTGCCAGGGTCTTCCCTGGCTGTTAATGAGAAATGGGTGCAGGGAGCAGTAGCTACACATTTCTGTTATATTATTGCAAGCCCTCAAATAATAACAAAACTATGGAAGCAAAAGTCAAGAGAATACCATATAGTCATCTAAAAATACAATGTTTGCCATAACTGAATTACAAAGACCTTTTTTCCTAATGGATTGACTTTTTAAAAGAAACTATCAAATAATATGCCTCATTTTTTAAGTAAATATAACACACAAAATGGAAGACAAAGAATGTCTGTTAAAATATTAACCTATATTTTTTTTTCACTTAGGAATGTGTTTTCTTACTTAATGAATAGCACACTATTCATTAACACTATTCATTAACTAACAGCTTCGGATGTAGCATAGTAGCAGTGTCTGCCACACAGATCCAAGGTCTAGGGTTTAATACCATGAAAAGGGAATGGGGAGAAGAGGATAAAGGAAGGGGGGAGACAAGATAAGGGATGAGGTGCACAAGAAGATGGGTCAGAAAAACAACTGTTAGTTCAAGCCAGAACACAGGAAACCAGTAATAGAATAGACAGTAACACGGTCTTCTAATCATGACCTAGATCACCTAGAGAGTCTTCTCATTAGTATTTACAGTTGTTGAATGAAGTTCTTCAGATAATAGACAACCGTAATAATCAATATAACTGAGGACAAGCCTCAGCTTAAATGGAGTTTAGGATGGCTTTAGAGCACTGTAGAGAAGTAAATTGATACTCTCATACATTTGTCAAAACCCACAGGATACTCAATATCAAGAGAACCAAATGTAACTTATGGAAAAAGGTAAGTCCTCTTTTGCAAGTGGCCTTTCCTGAGCCTTGTACTCTGATCAAATGGGTCTGCTTCCTCTCCTGCAGACAATTCATTTTAAAGGATACTGACTTGCATTACTGTGCTTCAAGAAGTCTTCTCGAAGGAGGACCAAGTCCTTAATCATCAAACTTCTGACATATCAAACTTTAGACCCCAGACTGGTGTCCTGCCTTCTCTTCTTTGATAGTATTGGTCGCTAATTAATGGAAACATGAACATGGTGTAATTTATTAGTCCAGACATTACCCTATACTAAAAATGGATGAGATTGACCTAGTCTATGAACGAACACAAAGAGGGAGTAATGCCCCCTTGGATTGGGAAGCTAGATAAAACTCAGTGACTCTGCAAATGCACATAGTCTACAGCCATGGGGAAAACTATTCTTAAGTAGAAAGATGAGGTTGAATTAGAGAAGTACAAAAATTTAGAAACTGGAGGGAGGGGCTCAATTGGCCCCAATCCAAAATGAATCAAGAAATGTTCATTTTCTTTCCCTAACAGAAGTTTGACTGCATATCAGCTTCCCTGTCAGACTTTGTGCTAGAAATTGAGCTATAATTCCCATTCATTAATGCATTTGATTTGTATAATTATTATATTAGCTAGGCACTATTACTCTCATAATTACAGAAAAAGAAACTATTACTCAAGAGGGCAATTTAGCAAAGTTATATATTTAGTAAATCACAAGTGAATCTCACTGTTGAAGCCTTCTCATTACGGAGTACTTTTCTTCCTTATTCCTAAAGTTAAGTGTTTAAACTCCATGGAAGATTGTCCATTTGAGGCTAGGACACAATGCTTCACTAGATCCTAAGAATTCCTTTTAGAAGCTGTACACAGGATCACTAATTCCTAGTAAGTGGGAAAAGGGACACTGACCCTATGTTCTAATACCTAATCATAATTATGGTAATAACAAATTTTGAATAGTATGTAAAAAACTGATTAAAATTTAACTTGAGGGGGAAATGCTGAGATATTAGAAAATATATTAGAAAATAGTTGAGCTAACATGATCTAAGTTCTAGAAAAGACACAAGCAGATACGAGCTGAATGTTTTTGCTGTGTTCTTCCTAGATACTACAGATTACACTAAACATTTCCTCTCTCCAGCGTAGTGAAGTTTAAATAGCTTACCATCATTCATTAAGAACCACACCAATGTTTTATGGCTACACAAGATGTTACCATTAGGGAATATCAAGCCACGGGTCTATGGAAGCATTACTATTTATCAACTTGTTATGTCTTAAATCATTTTTAGTTATTTTTAAAAATAAAAATCATATGTTTTATGATCCCCTAAAATTTGAAACCATAAAATCATGTCCTAGTGGTTGTTCTGATTAAGCAATTGAGTGCAAAATTAAGAAAAAATGGTTGAATATCCCAAGATAAGTAGGATGGTGTGCAATGATATACAATATCTAATACTCTTATTTGATTGTCTAAGTTTGAAATACTAGAGTTGTTACACAAAGCCTTGCGTGCAGTGCTTAGAAGAGAGGAAAGAAAGATATTCTAAACACAAGATATCTCAAAAGCACATCACTAATGTGATACAAGAACCAACAGAGCAGATACTATCAGTGGTGGTGTTCAAATTAAAGGTCTGGGTCCTGGGGAAACGGTAACATAATAAATGGTTATTTGTTCTTCAGTGAGTAATTTCTTTGTAGATAACAGCCTGTATTCATAAGCCACTCAAAAACAATTTGAACCTGTTAAAACATCTGTTAGAAAAAAAAGATGCAAGATAATACGTGATGCAAGGATAAGAAGAAAGAGGGATCCATTGTGTACCACTGGTATAAATTGAAATCAGCATAGCTGTTATAGAAAATAGGACACAGCAGTCAGATATATGGCTCTGCTATTAATAACAGAGTCCAGACTCAAGGTGATAAGCCAGCTGTCTTGTGCACACCTGTGACATCCAGCTCCAAGAGAAGCTGAAACAGAATTATTGCTGGGACTTCATGGATTCTAGAGCCTCTGGTTCATGGAACCTGATTTAAGGTGGAGAGTAACAGAGGAGGACCTCAATCACCATCCTCTGGATCCTAAGTTCAAACACAAATAAGTATGTGCATTTGCATATACACATATGCATACATTCATATACATATATACTTGAAAAAGAGTGGAAAAAACGTAAAAATTAAAAAGGTTAATTGAGCTGGGCGGTGGTGGCACACGCCTTTAATCCCAGCACTTGGGAGTCAGAGGCAGGCGGATCTCTGTGAGTTCGAGGCCAGCCTGGTCTAGCCACAGCTAGTTCCAGGACAGGAACCAAATGCTACGGAGAAACCCTGTCTCAAAAATCCACAAAAAAAAAAAAAAAGTTAATTGACTTAGAAATACCACCATGGAGTACACACCAAAAGAAAGTGAAGTCAATGTGTCAAAGGGCATGTGTACCCAGAAAGATGGACATGGTGTGTACTCACTCATAAGTGGATGCTAGTTATAAAGCAAAGGATAGCAAGCCTATAGTTCATGGCCCTAGAGAAGCTAATTAACAAGGTGAATCTTAAGAAAAACATGTAGATCCACCTGGCATTGCCTAACAAAATGGAAGTGTAAAAGTGGGGGAGGAGGGAGGGTAGAAGAGTAAAAGGAGGGGGCAAGGGGAGAGGGGATAAGAACTTGAGAGACAGTTGAGATGGAGGAAAGCCCGAGATGAGAGCAAGGAAAGATGTTTTTATTGAGAGAAACATTATTTAAGCATCTGTACTAGCCTGCCATTAGGCTCCTGACAGAATGTGTCCTCAGCTGCAGCCACTAAGAACACCCCCTGTGCACATTCGCTATGCTTCCTTTCAAAAGGTCAGCCTGCCCCCCCCCTCTCTCTTTCTCTTTTTCTCTTCCACCACTCTTGTCCTCAGAGACTGATGTCTGCTTTCCTCTCTGGCCCCTTCTCTGCCACTTCTCTCTCCTCTTCCGTTAAACCTCCTAGGTGAGCCTTGTTGCACGGGGTCACTTCTCTTCCCAACATTGTTTTTTAAATTACAACACTGGTTCCCCTGACCAGGAAAGGCTCTCCCAGTACTTTCTCCTGCCGGCCAGCAGTTTGGAGCACACTGCAACCCTGGAACACAGTCTACATAGAACATCCTAGCTTTGCAGCTAATGGATGACTGGGCCCTTCCATCTAACACTGGCACCATTGGTGAGCCCCCTCTTCTCCACCTCTGGCCATTTTCCTCAAGCGAGGACTTGTCTCTCAATGATGGTTTCTCACCTTTTTACCTCCTTAAACCCTGGTACCAGGCAACCGTGGCCTTCTCAGAATCAGAGGCCTTGGCCCCTGTTCTATGTTTGATGAAACACTGAAGCAGCCCATGCTTTCTCAAAATCAACCCTCTCTGAATTCCTGGGATGCTAGGAAGCACAGACCATTGGGTCTCATTTATCTACCACACTCAAGGGAATTTTGGTATCATCTACACTTCCAACTTTTGCATTCAGTGCTTGATTTGAGGGTTTCTAAACTCATATTTGCAGTTAGATCTGGCCCATCTATCCCTTAGCTATTGCTTTCTGATCTGCTCTCTTCCACCTGCAACAAATCTGCTTTCTCCTTCACTGATGGTTTGGCATTCCATTCAATACCAGCAATTGGGTTCTGGTGGGGTTATCCACCTCTGACTATTCCCCTGGATCTGAGGCTTCCTATCTCAAAAACAGTTCTTTCCTTGCCTTCTGACTTTTCTCGAGGTCCTGGTACCAGGAACTGTGTCTTTCTCATGCTCAGAGCCCTGACTCCTGTTCTTATGTGTTCTTACTGAAATAGCTTGTGCCGGCTGAGTCTTATACTCCCTGGCTCCCTGGGATGGCACTATATTCAGGCCTTTGATCTTCTTTCTCTATCTTCCTCTGCCTCATCCTTGGGAACTCTGCCATACACCTTCTCATTCCTATTGGGATTCTTTTATAGATCCACTAACCATTCCTTTTAAATCAAATCTGACCTCACTATTCCTTATACCATACAGTTGGGAAACAGAGAACGAACTCTCCACTTTCTTTCTTTTTCTTTGCTCCAAAACCTGCTTGTGTTTGTTCTCCCTCTCTAAATGGGCTGTCTGCCACACCATGTAGGTCATAGAGACGTCAGCTTTGTTTTGTTCACCACACACCAGTTTTCCTTTTCTTTTAATTAACTCCTGTTTAATTCTGTATCTTTCATGTGAGCTCAAGGGAGTTGACTTGGAACCACCTTGAATAGTATTTGTATTTTGTCAGGTCCAAGTGGCACCTGAAAGTTCCATAGAGCTTGGACAGTGAAGTTAAACAGCCAGCTACTCCAGGACATGGACAACACCCCAGCTTTCTCAGGTACCCCAAAGACTGCACCATCTGCCCAGCTCAGCATGAAGCAGTCTTGAGAACACAGCGTCCTCATCCCTGCCTCACCTGCTACCCCCATCTAAGGCAGCTTTTTATAATAAACAAAGGAAGGATGTTAGTATTTAGGCATCTGTAATGGCCTGCCCTAAGGGTCCTGACAGGATACTCCCTCAGTTGCAGCTCCTAAGAGCACTCTTCATGCACATTTGCTATGCTTCCTTTTAAAAGGTTGGCCTGCCCTGCTCCCATCTCTTTCTCTTTTTCTTTCTCTCTCCCTTCTCACTCTCACTCTCTCTTTCTTTTCTGCCACTCTTGTCCTCAGGGACCAGTCTCTGCCCCCCTCTCTGCACTTACCTATCTTGATAAATGGAAGATGTTACAGTGGTCCCTTACAGGAACATAGGTAAGAAACTAAAGACAGCAGAGGTTACTCAAAGGATCTGTATCACTGCCTAGCCTTCCCAGCATGGATGACAACTAAGGAAAGCATTCTCAGTTATGGAAGAGTCTTGGAGAAACCAAGTAACTTCAGCTATGGCTTTTTCTCTCCCAGCTATTACTTCCTCATAAGTAACCCTGCAAATGGCCGTGTGACTCTTGCAAGACTCAAGAGTAGCCTGAGGTCTGTGAGTTTTCTGAATAACGATGTAGGAGTTTCTCACTCTGCAGCTACCCTAAACCTCACTGCGTAATCCAGGGTGACCTTGAACTCACAATGATCCCACCTCACTGGTTGCTTACCATAATGACAAGTTTGAGCCTGGCAAACTTCCCAAGTCTTATGAAGCCTCCTCCTCCCTCCAGGAGGGGATGTTTCAATTTGGAGAAAACAGTCATACAACACATAAAACCAATACACTATGATAATTAGACTTTTTCATACAATTTCATTAGAACAATCCTCTTTGAGACTCATTCTAGGAAATGCTACTTTTAATATTTCTATTTTATTTTATTTAATTTTTTTTCATTTTAAATACCATTTCCCCTCCCTCTCCTTCTCCCATCCCTCCTTCTCTCACCATCCCACCCCCCATCCTCTCCTCAGAGGGGTAAGGCCACCCTTGGCGAGTCAACGGAGTCTGGCATAATAAGTTGAGACAAGAATAAGTCCCTGCCCCTGTATGAAAGCTGAGCAAGGTATCCCACTATAGGGAATGGACTCCAAAAAGCCAGTTCATGCACCCTTGATAAGTCCTGATCCTACTGCCAGAGCCCCCCCCAACAGATCAAGCCATATAACTGTCACCTACATTCAGAGGGAGAAACCTAGTGCTAGGGAAATTCCCAGGAATCCACAAGGATGGCCCTAACTAAGACTCCTAGCAATAGCAGAGAGGGTGACTGAACTGGTTTTCCCCTAATCAGATTAGTGTCTACCCTAATTGTCATCACAGAACCTACATGCAGTAACTGATGGAAGCAGATGTGGTGATCTACAGCCAAGCACTGAATTGAGCTCCTGGAGATCAGCTGAAGAGAGGGAGGAAGGATCATATGAGCAAGGGAGGGGAAACATCAAGATCATGGTTGGGAACCACAGAGACAGATGTCCTAAGGTAATGGGAGTCCATGGACTCTGGGCTGACAGCTAGAGAACCTGCATGGAACTGAATTAAGCCTTCTGAATATTTCTAATTTTTAGAGCAAAAGCTATAGAATTAGACAAACCATCTACAGGATAGATAGATCCTATCTATCTATCTATCTATCTATCTATCTATCTATCTATCTATCTATAGGATAGATAGATGAAATGGTCATTTCTTTTTCCCCTGGAGTTGGAGGATCATTCTTTTACCCTTGTACATCAGAACTCCATGTTCTTTGGACTTTAGATACTAACAAGGCCCCTTGTTTGAGGACCCCTGTTTTTCTTTATTAACTCAATTTCCTTCCTGCACCATCAGAATCATATAATGTCACAATAATTATACTTAATATCCTTTATCCATATTAAAATTACTCTTCTCAGTTTTAACCAGTGAGAGTTGCTGTTATTCATTCTGATGGAGGTGGCCTGGTTTGTGTTAAGAACAATTTCCTGGAGGAGCTTTCCACTTTCTGGGTTTCACTTAGAATATCGTATCTTCTGTTACTTTCATCTCTTTATCTTATCTTCAAAGTCTTAGAAGATCTCTGTCAGTTTGTTCTTCATATGACCTGTTCCCTTCAAGAAGTGATGGATCCATCCTTCATCTTCATAAGTTTTGCCTTGCCCGTATTTCTGTCAGTGTCTCTATGGTGCCTTGTCAATCCTCACTATTGCATTTTCAATTCATACTCTTTGTCTTATCTCAAGGAACCCACACATTATTGAAATACATGTATTCAAGGAATACATTATTGAAAAAGTATGCATTCTCTAAAACTACCCTTAGTATACAGTGTGCTTCCCCTACATTTCATTCCTTTTGTCCTTTTACTGTGTTACATGTTTAATTTCTCTAGTCACCCTGCCTTCAATGATGTTGCTCAGTATTTCATATCACAATAAAATATCACAGAGAACTAAATGAAACAATAACAACAAATAACGATCTCTAATTCTTTCCTTACCTCTCATTTCCCGGTGCAATATCGGCTCCAAGGTGTACCCAGGATTTCTTAGCATAAGCACCGTGAAGGGAAAGTTTCCCATAAACTCCTGAAAAATTGAATCAACAAATCACTAAGAAAATATTTCCATCTTAATTAAGGGCAGATAAGTGAAATATGGTTCAAAGGTTTGTACACAAAAATACAGGTCATATAATCTATATCTAACTATGTCCATCTTATCTTTAAAAAAGAATATTTCTATTATAACAAGTCAAATATAACCCAAAGACCTACAGAGAAATTAAAGCTACAGAACATAATGAAAATCTAAAAGTGGAGAAACACCATCTAATGGTGAGCCAGTTCAATTTAAAGTGGTATGTCCTTCTGCTTTTACGGTGACGTCAAAACTTCTTTGATCTGATGGAAGACAGCCAGTTTGGGTATTTTATGATATACCCTAGACTGTGCAAAAGTCAAAGAGTAAATATAAACTTTCCAGAATTTATCAGCTGTCCAAGAAATGGAAGTCCTTTGCCTTTCTGTTTTTCTTTTTGTCTTGCTCTTTCTTTCTGTCTTCTCTCTTTTGCAGACACATAGACACACATATTATATTATTAATATACATTATATTTAACTCTTACCAATTGTTCCTGGGTCAACACGTATTCCATCAAAATGGTCACAAAAGATTTCTTCTGAGGCTCTGAGAATAATTAGAAGTCTTTGTTCTTTTTCTAAGGGATTTGTTAAAGTACCTGTTAAGAAAGCAAAGTATATCATCTAAAATAATTTGAAATGCAAAGAAAAAATCCAGAGTAAATGTCTTGATATTGTTTGTATGGGGAAGAGGCAATGGTCATATCAATGAAATGACAGCAGAAAGCATGAGTTCCTACAACCCTCTCTGAAGAAGTATGGGTTATCATTCATGAATCATCTGCTACCTCTCATCATAGACTCAGAATACACTTTACTAGCTCCTATTTTCCAGGCGGGTTTTGTGACACAGTCTGGGTTAGTGATGTTTGGATGGAAAATAGTAATTGCTTTTGTTAGTTGGTAATGTAAATACTTGCCAAGTATTTTCCACATTTCTTCTCTATTATATAGCTCCTCTTTTATAAGAACTTGGATTCTTAAATGAAGAGACATTCAGAAAAACCCTGAGAAGTTTTTTGACTCCAGCAAGCAGACTGGAGTCAGGTTCACCTAGTCTAGTGTGAATACTCATTTTACAAACCACTGAGGTATAGGAGTGATGTACTAAAAACCATTATTACAGTGAATCCTGGCTAATACAGTGACCATGGTTGTGGGAATTAGTGTTTCCTTCACATGGTTTTAGCATTTAGTGTTCACCAGAAATCTAAGAAGCATGATTCTTATTTTGATGTAAATATCTACATAGAAAGAGGCCTAAAGCTTTGGGTATGAATCTAAATCTATCCAACTAGCAGTATGTAGCAGATTTCAAACAATCATGGTTTATCAAACCAGTAATAAATTGTTTTTCTTCAAGTTCTCTTAGCATCATTGCAACAAAGAAAACATAAGGCTATGACAGACAGACGGGAATTGCTTCCAACAATCTCTGGAAGAAACAGTCATGTTCTTTACAGTTAGATGAATGTTCAGAGACTTGCTAATATGATATTAATGAATACAGACCTAGGAAAGCTATGTTATTCTTACAGAAGCCATTGTTGAAGAAATAAGCAGTATAAAAGTCCTCCCCAAAATATATATTCTGTGGAAACAGGCTCACGAAAACCATCAGCCATCAAATGAGTCTCTGCTTTAAACCAACAAAAAATGTGATTGTTAAATATGGTATGGAATAATTGTTAAATTTAAAATCATCTATTTGTCATTTTGGTTATTCTTCTCTCAGGCAGCAAAAAAACCACTCCACATTCCTATTAGTTAGGACTTCCTATGCACCTGGTGTAAGTTTGGGGTTTGTTTGGTCTATGTGTATTTTCTCAAATCATCCTCACGAGCCATTACTGTTAGAAGTGTTGATAGCAAAAAAAAAAAAAAAAAAAAAAAAAAAGTGTTGATAGCAAGATTCAGAAAAATAAATCAATTTGCACTGGAATAAGGAGGTTGCTTGTTGGTTCCCAGCCACTTAGCCCTAAAATAATCACACAGAAACTGTATTATTTAAATCACTGCTTGGCCCATTAGCTCTAGCTTCTTATTGGCTAACTCTTAATTTAACTTATCTCCATGAATCTGTGCATCACCATGAGGTCGTGACCTATCATCAAAGTTTCAGCACATCTGCCTCCAGCTGCAGCTCCCTGGCTTATCTCTGACTCTGTCCTTCTATCCCCCAGCATTCAGTTTAGTTTTTCCCACCTAGTTAAGTTCTGCCCTGCTATAGGTCCAAAGACATTTCTTTATTCATTAATGGTAATCACAGCATACAAAAGGAAATACCACATCATTGCACAGCACATGAGTCAAGGGCAAGTATGGCTTAGGTATTCATGCTACAACACTGTTGTAGAATAATGTTTAAGATGTGTTACATTTGTTTATGTGGTGGCACATTTATTTTAATGATGCAAAGATGTGTTGCATTCCTTTATGTTGCATTTGTTTAATTCTGTGAAGTTGTGTTACTTTGCCCATCTAAAACATTTGGTTGGTCTAATAAAAAGTTGAATAGCCAATAGCCAAGCAGAAGAAAGGATAGGCAGGGCGGGCAGGCAGAGAGAATAAATAGGAGGAAAAATCTAGGAAGAAGGATCAAGGAGCAAGAAAAAAGGAGGAGGAGAGGAGGACATTGGGGGCCAGCCACGCACCTATACAACTAACAACAGAGTAAAAAAGAAAGAAAAGTATACAGAAATAGAGAAAGATAAAAGCCAAGAGGCAAATGGTAGGTGGGATTATTTAAACTAAAAAAAAAAGCTAGCAAGAAAACAAGACAAGCTAAGGTGAGGCATTCATAAGTCTCCTGCTGTATTTATTTGAGAGCTGGGTTGTGGACCCCAAAGAACAAAAGAGTAAAAACAACCAACTATACAACACTAAGGCAAGGTCTGGTTCTGTATAGATGCCACAGTGTCTTAGCTGGGAAATGAAGGTATCCTCTGAGCCCAAAGACACGGAGAGCAAGAAGAAAGGGAGCAAAGAACTGGGGACTGTTCAGTAAATGTGCCTGGTGTGACTCTTACCTTGCTGCAAGAAGTCTGTCCAGTAAGCTGTTTTCCAACTGCGATTTCATTTATTTCATTTAGGGTAAAATCTTACAGGGGAAAAAAATGGCCTAGCACTAAACAGATACCAGAGACAAAAAGTAGGACACTTTTTGCCCTAGAGAAATGTATGCAGAGTCCCACAAAAAGAGTTGCGCATTTCTCTAAAATCAGAGATTAAATCAATTATGCAACCCAAAACTGCAGCACATGTGGGGCCTTCACAGAAAATCTGGGCAAAATTAGTTAGCTTGCCGTGATCTTTCAGAATCCGGAGCGACCAGAATTTGGAATCTTTTTCTTAACATGGGAGAGGGAAAGATGGAGGCTAGAACTACTCTGCAACCAGGCAGAGGCAGGAGAAGGAAAGGGATGATGTTCTACATTAAAATACAGTGCTTCCCAGATATTAAAAGCAGGTGAAAGGGAAGCTTCCCAGGCTGCTGTCCTCATTGTCTTCTCGATCTCCCAGAGATAGATGCTCTTTTCAATGTAGACTTTACCAATAAATAAGAGTAGCTAGCTCTGAGATGATGCAGTGGGCTCTTAGCTTGCCTTTATAAATCTGTTGTAGTTTATATGATGGGCGATAATCAGCACTGTGTTGTGAAGACATTACTGCTGCTTTTGCATACATTACATTCCTCACGTGTCTTCCATGAAGACTGTAGAGATTCCCATGAGGAAACTGAGGCAAGAAGAGCTTACACCACTAGTCAGAAGCTACATAGCTGTTATTAAGTGGCATTGGGCTTAGATTTAATAAATACCATCCTAAGACATGCGGAGGATGGAGGAGAAGTAAAGCAAAGTTGTTATTACTTAGCATGATGGTGGGCAATGGAGGGGGAAAAGAATTGGTTCCAGATGTTAAAATCACCTGGGGAGATGGAAGAAAATAAGTTCTGGTATACCAAAGATAACCATTATTGATTTGGCGGATATGCTACAAATGGATTCCATGAATTTCAAAACATAAGAAAAAGGGAAATGAGCCTTTATTACTTTATTAACTAAATCTCTATGATAGAATCAGGTATCAGCCTAGTTTGCACTTAAGCCTACTCTATCACCCTGAATCCCCCACACCTTGTAGTCGACAGACACATTCAGGATAATTGTCTAACCTTTCCAATCTTTCTGTGCACAGTTTTTGCTTCTCCCAGTTCTTAACTTTCCAGCCATACCTGGCTCCACGCTAATTGATTCCTAAGAATGTACTATGTTCTTGAATTGGAGTATATAAGAATGGCCATGCCTCCTGTTATATATTAAAAAGTTTGAACTAAACATTCAGCACTCAATATGGATAAAGTTGAGCAAATCCTAAAAGTTCTTCAGCATGGTATTTACAAAAAAATGGTAAATATTTTTAAAGGTTTTGAAACAGCAAACAAGGAGAAGCAGTGCTTATATTTCATGCTCACCCCCCTTCTTTTTCCTTTTCTAATGAGCTCCATAGCTGAGCCACAGGAAGTCCCTCATCAAATTCTTCCTCTCTTTGCCTGGGATGCCATGCCAGCTAACTCTTCAGAGTCCATCTTTATTCATATCTTTCTTTGTCAATTAAGTCAGGGTTAAGCGACACACCCCCACCATCAGCTATAAGAACAGTCCACCTTTTACCTCAAAACTTTTAAAACTGGAACATTGGTTCCTTGTGCCTGTTTTCTGTTCTTTGTGAGCTGTGTCGCCAGAATTAATTTTAAAACTTTTCATAGAATGATGAACTAGTTCATTGAGACCAACTTCCTTGCAGAAAACTACAGTAAAGAGAAACAACTTATAGTAATAAAAATGTGAATCAGTTATGATGATCCTAAACATATACGTGCCTAACAGTATAGCTTCCAATTGTAGAAAGCAGGAATCTAGGGAACTAAAAGGAAAAAATGGATAATAAGAGTGATAAGGCAAACATCTGGTTATATAATAGATAACTACTAAGAATAATAAGCTGTAAGTGTGAAACCTGGTTGGCTGCTGTGTGGTCCACTTAAGCTCTCAGGAACCATGTCTTTGTGGAAATATGTGTGGTACATGTACATATGAAAAGTGTAATTGCTTGAAAGAAAACATTACTGTTTATTTTAAGCTGATATATTATTTTTAAAATTATTTTCTTATTCTATGTGTCTTGCCTATGTGTACATATGTATATGAATTGCATGTCTAGTGCCCACCAACTTCACAAGAAAGTGTCAGATCCCCTGGAACTAGAATTAAAAATGGTTGTGAGCCATCATGTGGGTGCTGGGGATTGAATCTAGGTCCTCTGCAAGAGCAACAAATGATCTAACCACTGAGCCAACTCTCTATCTGCTGATAAATTATTTTTAACAAACATCACACACATGGTTTTCTGTTTGCTCAGTGGTACCATGGCTTTAGGCAGAAGAATGTAACCTACAGTTTTCTCGGGTTTATTTACTTCTTATTACTTAATAATCCAGTGAGTCTTGCTGAACTGCCAGTTGAGAAGGCAGTAAACTATATTTTTTTTTCTTTGGGATTGAGAAAGCTCCAATCATGGAAGCAATGAAGGAAGCTCCCATACACCTAGGACTTCATTCGCTGACAATCAAAGCCAGGTGCGATTTTGAACTTAAGAGAACACATAAATGGAAAAGATGGGTGCAAGCAGGTGCTCCAGAGCAAACAAACACACATTAACAAATCAACATACCAATGTTTATTTTGAGACTGTATCCAAGAAGGATTGTAAAATCTCAACTTGAACCACCAAATTTTACTCTGTTTTCGTACTTGCTCAGTTCCTTTCTTACAGGAAATAAATGTATTTTGGTCACTGAAATATTAAAACTGTAATCCCTTCCTCATAGATATAGCCATTAAAGCATGGTGTTTCTAAGGAATAAAAGCACTGAGGTAAAGGACAGACCTAGGCATACCAATTACACATACTACCAGAAGCTAACAATAAGTTTTACGATACGCACAGAACTCTACCACTTAATAGAAGGGATACTCGAGAACTAATACACTATGTTATCAAGGTGAATACAGTAAGGTCAAGAAGAATGGGTAGAATAGGCCAGAAATAAGATACTGAATGTGATCTACTAGTGGAAACAAGAAAGGTTTTCTAATAGAGGCAGAAGTGCTGGAAGCAGGGAAGGGCGTATTAAAGATAATTGCAACAGCTGTTGAACACGCCTTTGTTCTTTCCCAAATACAAGATCATAAAACAAATGAGTAATATCTGTCTATCTCAGTTGTCTCATGAAGACTGTAGAGGGGTGATTCATCACAGTTATTTTTGAAGAATTTTCTAAAAGCTGCACAATGATTTTTCTACAGTAGAATTAAAAACTTAATTTACACCATTTTCTAGTCCAGCAGCTGTCCTTCCATCTTTCACCCTGCAGCACATTTTCCTGTCTCGAGGCTTTTTATGAGCTTTTCATCAAGGCTGAGGTTGTCTTCTGTAATCTCTCCAGGCCTAGGTCTTTGTAAGTCTTAGTAGTTCTCAATCCATGGTAGCAACCCCTTTGGGGTCACATATCAGGTAGTTCACTACACTTCACATAACAGTAGCAACATTACAGTTGAGAAGCAACAACAAAAATAATGTTATGGTTGGGGGTCAGCACAACATAAGGAATTGTATTAAAGGGTTGCAATGTTAGGGAAATTGAGAAACACTGAGCTAGATCCTTCTGTTCTCTTTAGTCTAAAGTTACATGATTCATTAACATGTCCTTCAGTCACCACCTAGCCTGATGGCCAATAGCCAACCTGCACCTTTCTTCAAATTATTTCCCTCCTCAGTTTCCTTTAGAACATATGTTATCATCTAAACATCTCATTCCTGTTCATTGTACTCTCTCATCATTTGTTTTCCCAAACAAACAAATGAAAAAACTCTAGGATCCTCTTTGTCCCAATTGCTGAAAGATAGTCAATCCAAAGCAAAGCCTGGCACTGAACTAAATGTTCAATAAAAGAAGAAATTGGAAAGAGAAGAGGGGGAAGAGAAGGAACAAGAAACGGACATTTATGTGGAACTAAAAATCACCAGAACTGAGAAATTACTTCTTTCTTAATTTTTACTTGTTTTCTTCATTCTTCATCCAGGCAAGTATTTCTATATATTACTCAACATGGATAACTGTTAACTTTCAGTATGTGGTATGTTCAATGACAGTTAGGAACACGTGAAAGTGGGGCCTGCCCCCAAGCCTGATTACCTTCCGAGTCTGATTCCCAGACTCACATTGTGGAAGGAGAGAACCAACTTCTCTACAAGTGATTCGTGAACCTCCATAAGTGCACTGTAGTATACACAAAACCAAACACACTATCTCTCTTCTCTCTCTCTCTCTCTCTCTCTCTCTCTCTCTCTCTCTCTCTCTCTCTCTCTCTCTTTTTCTCTCTCATACACACATACACACACACAAACACACTCATACTGATATAGTAAGTTTATAAAAGGAAAGTTAAAGGCAAAAGTTAAGCTGTGCAAGAAAAGATAAAGGGTGTTGAGTTTATAAAATTTACCATCTCTTAAGAAATACTTGCTGGCCTGACAAATGGATCCACAGTTAAGAACACAAACTACTCCTACAGAGGACCTGAGTTAGGTCCCCAACAGTCTTATCAATTGGTTCGCACCAGCCTGTAACTCCAGCTCTGGCTGTGGGGTGGGGTCTGAGATCCTCTTCTGAAATCCACAAGCACCTCTCTACACAGAGACACTTATGTACATATTTAAAACTAAGTATTTTTAAAGAAATGTTTATTGGAGGATTGTTTTTTGAAATTTTGCTTTGTTTTGTTTGTTTGCTGGCTTTTTATTTGTTTGTTTGTTTTTCGTTACAAGGGCAGGGTAAGATTTTCTGCTCAGAATGCCTTTATCAGCCACTACAATCATAGCCAGAGGATAATTATCAATTTCTTCATCTGTTATACTTTTGCCCATGCACGTGTTCTGTTGGACTAGTAAGATAAGCATTGAACGAAGAATGTAACTGACTTTATTTACTCTGGCATCTGTAATGCAACTTTGATCTCAAATTTACTTCCAATTCCAGCCTTCTATGATTCTGAAAGTCAGGTGATATCTTTTGCCAGCATCCATTGCCTCAAAATCAAGAACCAGAATTCCACACTGTTAGGATTTGGATCAAATGGCATCACCTAGCAGATCTGCTTTGGCAGAATGCTGTGCCAATGTCCGCATGTATTAAGTTTGTTTACTAACTAGCCGTATTATTTGTCTCATGTTGGGCTTTCTGTAGGTGTGGACAGATGGGTTGAAAGCCTTCCTTGAGGCATAACACACATAGGATTGGGCAGATGGGCTCCAATAAGAAACCTTTAGGCCTGAAACACATGGATGGAACAGAGAGAAAGAAGATACGCCATTATGTAGTGATGCAGGCATCATTTTAAACCATCTGAAATATCTAAAGCAAAGCTGGAGAGAAGCACAGAGTCTCTTCCTTCAAAGGTACAGATTTTTAGTCCACGAGTTACATGTTACAAGCAGCCTCAAAAGCCTGAAAAGAGAAGTTCTAGTTAGAAAGTGGTGACCGCCAATAGCTTTCTACTAACACACAATTATTTAGTAAGTATTTCCATCAGTGATTAGATGAGAATTTTATAGACTGCTAAACAAATGGGACAATAGTCATAATCAGAAATGAAAATAACAAAATATAGTCATTCCCCACTGGAGAGAGATGGATGAAGGTACTCTAATAAAGAAAACAGACGAAGCCTGTACTGGCCGTGTCCCATAGTCACACTGATGATTACCTCGAATATCACCATAGAACCGGCAATGGATGGAAATAGAGACAGAGACCCACATCGAAGCACTGGACTGAGCTCCCAAGATCCAGTTGAAGAGCAGAAGGAGGAAGAATATGAGCAAAGAAGTCAGGACCGCAAGGGGTTGGTCCACCCACTGAGGCAGTGTGCCTGATCTAATGGGAACTCACCAAATCCAGCTGGACTTGGACTAAATGAGCATGTAATCAAACTGGACTCTCTGAGTGTGGATGACAAGGGGGCCTGACTGAGAAGCTGATGATAATGGTACTCGGATTTGTTTCTACTGCATGTACTGGCTTTTTTGGGATCCTAGTCTGTTTGGATGCTCACCTTCCTAGGCCTGGATGAAGTGGGGAGGGCCTTGGACTTCCCACAGGACAGGGTACCCTGCCCTCTCTTAAGGAGGGAGGGGGAGGGGACGGGAAGGGAGGAGAGGGAGGGAAATGGGAAGAGGGGAGGAAGTGGAAATTTGAATGGTATTATTTATAAAGCAATAAAAATTAAAAAAAAAGATGAAAAAGTATACTTAGGTGCTCCAGTACAGAAGGCAAAATTAAAGAAGCCTTACACACATGCACACTGGGAAAACCGTTATTGGAGGCAGCACATAGAGAAAGGGTGGGAATTACAGCTGACAAGTTCTCTGCTAAGACTAATAGCATGGGGGCGTGGCTGGAAAGTCAACTGACTTCTTGGGTCTATTGGTAGGAGCATTGCTTCTGTTCTGATAACTGGAAGATAACTTCATTGAGAAACTTCTGTTGGTGCCTATGTTCCTAAGACACCATCTCTAATCTGCGCAGTGTCCTAGGTGGCAACCGACCTAGCAATGCAGAACTGGGGAGTCCTCTCTGGCTTCCAACCTGCTGAGAAGAGACAGGCTGGAGTAATGATCCCTATAAGACATTCGCAAGTGAAGGTTGAGTCCCAACCATGTTCACACTCACGCATATGTCTGACAACCCTCTCCACACTCCCAAGTCTGGATTACAGGAACAACTCATTCTCTCCACCCTTTATAGCAAAGCGAAGCAAGAATATCTGGCTTTACTAGCCCTAAGAAGAGCATCATTCCAAATGTAATTTTGTAAATAGTCCATTTATTTAAGTCTTTTAAAATATCCAATCCATGTTACTCATTTGTGTATGAACACCCTGACTGATAAAGTAATATTTTTCAAACACCTACTATAAAATATTGTGAGCTGCTGCATCTGTTTAGACATCTCATCCCCCTGTGGTAGACTTCATATTTGTGTTTGTTACAAGTGAGGAGATGGAGATCCCCTAGAGTTTATTTGTTTACAATCAAAGAGCCAGTATAAGATGTGATGAGTTTGGCCCCAGAATATCTAACTTAGAGTCTCTCTAGAGCAACAAAAGGGGATTGAGTCAGTAAGAAAGAACAAAGAGAAGTCACTACTGTCCACATCTAAAGGTGTATTTGGAAACACATTTCTAGCCTTAGCCCTCCAGGCCTATGTCAGGCAGAGGATCGTTGCTGTCTTCCACTTCCCACAACACGTTTCCCCAGAACAAGACTTTCATTACATTGCCAGTCCAATCCCTGCGCACTTACTCACCTACTTTCAGTTCCCCTCCTGCAATGAGTAAGCAGGCCACACTCAGAACATTGCTTCTGTCCACAGGGAATTCTAAGGTCCCCATTACATAGAGGCGTCTAAGCACTGGGAGAGCTGTATCCACAAGAACAGCCCTGTCTGCAGAGAGCAAAAAAAAGGTTACTCAGATGTGTGCACCTAAAACAAGAGCCACTTGCCACTTTCTCTCTTCCAGGGATATTCCCGGCTTCTGGCAATTTGTGACCTGCATCAGGCCAACTGCAGCAACCAGAACAAATGCTCTGTAGGAAAGAAAGTCAGTCATGATTAGTAAGTTTTACCACTCTTTAACACAACAATGTTATGGCCAAAAGTCTTGCCTAAAGCTGTCCTTAAACACCCCCCACCACAACCCTAATTTAGTACATAAAGATATGAACTGCATATGCTTTATACCTAGGTCCTCACTTTTGACAGATTTCAAAGCATACAGAACAATAGATAAGCTCTTGGCCTTGAAAAGATCTATAATTTGTTTCTAAATCCCAGTTCTGCTACCTGATAGATGGGAAACCAGTTTTATCCATCTATCCCTCAATTGTCTTGTCTGTGAAATGGGAATAAAAATAGTATCTACTTCCTCCTCGGTCTTTTGTGAGTATTAGATGAGTTGATAGATTAAGGTGCTAACACAATATAGAAAGCCACATAGAATTCCCTAATTTCCAGAATGTAATACAGAGTGCGCAGTGCACACTCACTAAGTGCTGGAGAGAAGCAGTATGTGTACAGATTTCCATCTGCTTGGCAAGCTTATGGGGCCCATGGGTGACTTCAAACAATTATTCTCCTCCCTGCATCCTCTCCTGAAAGCCTTTCTTTGTATAACTTCAAGGGAAATAATCATGGTTTTCACCTGATCTTAACAATAAAGTAATGTATGAATAAAACATTTTCACTTAAAACAGTAACTATTTCATGTATGCTGAAGTATTAAGTGTTGCCCTCTAAAGTACTTCAACATGAATTTAAGATGTCAAATAAATCTTTCTGCTTAAATTTTAAGCATCACAATCACTGACAGGTGTACAGATTTTTAAAAGAAGTTCTTTTATTAGCATAATCTCATTTCACATCCCAGGAAACAATAGACTCTGCTGTTCTTAAGGACCTGACCAAGCAAATTAACTTGTCATGAGTTGTCTTGCTAGCCCTTGCCCATTTCTTTACTTAGAAGACCAGCCATGCCCTCCTGTGGCAAAGACGGCAAAAACTATAAGGCTGCAAGCCAACTGGCTCCTTCTTCCTCGTGAGTTTACAGTCTGAGCCTCCAGGCTCAGGCTCCAGGCTCGAGCTGTATTTACTGTTAAAGGATGCCATATGACTGCATTGTAGCCAGTACCATGCACACACACACTTCCAGCATAATGCCTTTAGCCCAGCCTGTAACCTCTACATGTTCCCTCCCTCCTCACTTCTCTCAGCTGAATACAGAGTAGTAGATCTCCAAGTATGTCCATGGCTGGCCTCATCAGCACCAGCCACTGGATGAGGAAATGCTCGGGATCTCAGCTGACAATAAAGCACTCCTCACATCCTGCTTAGAGATCCCCACCACTCCCGCTTCTTGAGAAACAACCCATCTCTTCCACATTCCCAAGACACCATCTACACACTCAAGTCAGAGCACTCAAAGGTACTCTTTGAGCTCCATACACACATTATTGCATGTCTACAAGTCATCATGGTCTCATCAATCCTTCCTCTCCTATTTTTAGGGGAAGAAACTAATCATTTCTAAATGAAAAGAGATATGCTTATTATACTGTCAGAAATAAAGATATTAACCAAGTCTCTCCAGCTTTGGTTAGTGTAGTCCACACATACCTTCAACACAAGAGTGCATTACTTTATTTACAGGTAAGATGGCTGACTAGACAGAGAAAGAGGTCAGCCTCATCTCTGGTACTTCTTAAAACAGTCAAATAAAGGAGTGAAATATTCAGTGAAATGCTATGGTTTGTGGCTTGACATTTGAGGTTAATAGTTATTTAAAGAACTTAAAAAATTAAAGTTTTGTGCAAATGGTCATATTGTGTCCCAAGCCATAATTGGTGTTTGCTTATAAAACTGTTATACAAAACAATAAGCATAGTTGATAAATGTTTCTTTCATTCACAGAATATACACAGAAACCCACACACGATACTAGACTCCTTAAAGGTACAGCACAAGTAAATATGACAAATGCATAGAATTTGCATACTAATCTAGAAGGAATTCTTCCATTGAATTGTCCTACCTACTCCAAATGTGCCAACGAATGCCCTAGGGAATCACACACAGATTAACTGCTTGGAACCAGTACATGACTTCTTCCCTCCTGTGTTTATTTTATCAGGACTTTAAACAAAATCTAATGTACATTAGGTCCTCAGAACAATACCAAGTGGCACACACATCAAAAAATTCAGCAGAAACAAGAGTGATGGACTGCCAAGAGGAGAAGTATTGATGTGGGAGTGATTTCTTACTAATAAAGAAACTGCCTCGGCCCTCATAGGACAGAAAATTAGGTAGGCGGAGTAAACAGAGAATTCTGGGAGAAAGAAGCTGAGTCAAAGAGTCGCCATGATTCTCCCGCTCCAGACAGACGCAGGTTAAGATCCTCCCTGGTAAGCCAGTTCATGGGCTACATAGAATATTAGAAATGGGTTAGAACAATATGTAAGAGCTAGCCAATAAGAAGCTGGAACTAGCCGGGCCAGGCAGTGTTTGAAAGAACACAGTTTCCGTGTAATTATTTCAGGCATAAGCTAGCCATGTGGGCGGCCGGGTGCCGGGGACGCAGCCCCGCCGCTCTTAATTCAACAAAGTATCACAGTTATTCCTTTGGGGGTGAGATTTTGCACTTTCAAGCTTCCTGAATTCAACTCTCCAACGTTTTTGTCCCTTTCCTTACTTAAGATATAACAAACTTTTCAAGAAGTTGAAAATGACAGATGAGTGGCAGGTATTTCTTACTAATATAATTAACTATATTACTATATAGTATATATTATATGCCACTTTATTATATACAGATATACTATATAGTTACCATGATAGATATACTAATAAAATAATACTTTAGGTGCATAGCACCTCCTGTTCCTGCTGCAGGGGCTTCTTTGTTCCACACAACCCTGCCCTTCCCCAAGCTCACCCGTTTGTCTGCAGGGTCCTTGGACTACCAAGTCCCTGTTCCTGTGCCGAGGAGATAAATCCAGACTGAACCTTCATCTGGCGATGGATGGAGATAAAGACAGAGATCCACATTGGAGCACTGGACTGAGCTCCCAAGGCCCAGATGAAGAGCAGAAGGAGGGAGAACATGAGCAAGGAAGTCAGGACCGCGAAGGGTGCTGCGTCCACCCACGGAGATGCTGGGACTGATCTAATGGGAGCTCACCAAGACCAGCTGGACTGGGACTGAACAAACATGATCAAACCGGACTCTCTGAATGTGGCTGACAATGAGGGCAGACTGAGAAGCCAATGATAATGACACTGGGTTTTGATTCTACTGCATGTACTGGCTTTTGGGGAGCCTAGTCTGTTTGGATGTACACCCTCCTAGAACTGGATGGAGGGGGGAGGTCCTTGGACTTCCCACAGGGCAGGGAACCCTGACTGCTCTTTAGACTGGAGATGGAGGGGGAGGGGAAGAGAAGGGAGAGGGAGGGAAATGGGAGGATGGGAGGAGATGGAAATTTTTAATAAATAAATAATACTTTAGACTTGAAGTGATGTTATACCTTAATTAAATGAATATTGGTCCGACCTTTTTATTTCTAGCTGCCTTTATTTGGAAAATGCACTAATCTACTTCTTACAACACAAGTCTTCTATAACGAAATAAATTCATCTCATATAAAAATTTCTGCTGAAGGGGTTCTCTTTGTATCACAGTTGTAGAGGTGATGCTGGCATGAACAATGGAATGTACAATTCATGCTGGTATTGGCTCCAGAGCAGATAAGCCGCCAGGCCAAACTGTCCTCAGCTACAAGGACAGTTGTTTCCTTTTGTCCAGGTGTGAATTTGAACCAATATGTTACATTTTCTACAAGTAGCATCATTTCTGAGGCATTGCTCAAAGCATTTCTAGTAATCACTCATAAAAGGTTATACAACCCATATAATACATACAAATGATAGACCCCCTCTATCTTAACTGTGGCCCAATACTTTCCACCTCTTCCTGGATGGATGCAGCTCTTCCATCCTATTCTGTCAATGACCAATCTATCCTACTTCAGAGAGTGAACACTGGCATATGGAGGGAACCATCTGGAATTTCTGTTGCTCAATGGGAGGCTGATGGGAGAGCTGATCTGGAAAGAGCCTCCAAAAAGAAATAATGAGTTCCAGATGTAATTAAAGACTGTCTTTCCCCCCAAAGGGGCTTAGGACCAACCATGGTGTGGCATTTCTGGGTACCAAATTATACTCTCTTACCACTTGTTCATCCATCAAGTACTAAACACCCACCATCATTATTCTAGTATCTCTTGCCAAACAATTGGGTTGGGGGGATTGTTTGTTTGTTTTGGTTTGATATGGTTTGGTTTCTGAACATGTTCTCTTTTGACAATCGGAAATATAAAGCTTTAAAAGAATTCTCTGGAAACAACACGAGGTAGCATCTTTAGGAGCTCCCTGTGCACTTGATATAAGGATAATGGAAACAAAGGAGATCCAGTCTTGTACCAATGCATCATCATCTTCAAGAACAGAAAACTGAAGGCCTGGCCCAACTGTAAAAACAGATGTTGCTAACATAGAACCGGGACTTCCTTTTATTTCAGAACTCATTTAACTAATATAATCACCAAATATTTCATATAACTTCAACCCTAGATTTAAACTCAGTTTTCCCCCAGAAAAGTCTAAGAATCAAGGTCACTATTTGGTTAGCATTCCAAGGGTCTGACACTTGTCTCAATCCTGCAGAAATGAGATCAGGGGCAAAGGGCACAGATCTTAGGAACAATGATGGGGTCATATGCACAGGCATGATTTAGGGGAGACAGCACCACTGTTTTTATGGTAGGCAGTATATCAGGCCCATAATTGAGGAGGAGAAGACAGTTCCACTACAACTCTCCATTGTCAGG